GACAAAGACATAACAAAGAAAATTTGATTTAGAGAGATTTGGACAGACCTCCGGGACAGCTCAAAATTTAGCTAGTATCCAATTATGCAGACTTTACATATTAAAAAAGGTGTCTGCTTACCTTAATTCTTTGTCCGGACTGTTCGAGAGGTCGACCAACATCTTTTCCGCGTCGAAAAATTCAATTTAAACAACAAAAGTGACAGAAGCGACAAGAAGCATCCAGGAACAGCTCTTCCAGCATGCTGGAATCTCCGCTCCCAGACACAGCATGCCGATCCCTCACGCAGAGGAAAAGAAACAGAGAAAACTCCCTCAAAACAATCCAGAGAATGGCACACACTGAGCCGCGCATTCTCCACCAAATCTGTTAGGATTTAGCAGACAGAGACGGATCGTGGTGTGCCAAACTCTGGAAGTTTATTTAAGTTTCTCTCAAGTTCCACTGGTTTACTCTGTTTCTTTCTCTCAGACAGAATAAAGGCAGTACACAGTTTATATAGTGATTGTCACGTCACACATCGAAAGACATACGTGTCACAAAGAGACAGTCACATCATAGTCATAACATGGAGTCCTTGTAGAGTCCTTGTACAGTCTTGCACGTAGGCCATATTGCTATCTAATACTAATAGGATCAATAAAGTATCTATTTATCTATCTATCCATCTATTTGATTTCTGGTCTCAGACAGAGGGGAGCTACTTTAGATATTTCATGACACTTTGAAGCAACTGTGGTTAAAGTTCTTACTCATCATTCTAACATATATGCACAAGCCAGTACTTTTCCACAGCCTGTTTTGATTTCTGAAGGCCAAGCTACTTGCATCGCGGCGAAAGCTGATTGGATGTGTTCATTCCTCCGCTGTATATTATCACTTGCAGTCTGTAAAATCCTTGTTCGTGTTTGTGTGTCTACCATCAACAATAAAACATATCTTCTGTCTGAATTAAAGACACGATCCCAGACTTTGTCATCTTCTTCACTACTGTACCTGTGTTTGGTTACCGTACTTTAGTCAACTTGATGACTATAAGCGATTGAGGTAAAGTTTTTTGAAAAGATACTTTTTCCCTGTTCAGCCAAAAGAATCTACCACATCATTAAAGTAACAATGCATAATATATGGGATAGGATTGTGCTGAATAATGTTGCATTATTTTTGTCCTGGAATAATGATCTGAAAGATGAACGCGAGACGTGAGATTTGAACTGAAACAGAGCAGTGAGGAAATCACATGTGTTTCCTTCATTCTAATACAAACCTTTGCAATCAGAGTATTAGGATACTGACAGCAAACACATCAGATCTCACATGTGTCTCAACAACTGATGGAGTCAGATCCATCATGAGACTGATCTGTGATCAAACTCATCACAGTGAACCACTGTCCAGTGACATCACTTCACAAACTACATGAAACAGCTGTTCTTATTGCTCACACGTGTCATCGTGTTTTCCTCTGGACATGAGCTTTGTAAACGTGACCGAACTGATCCTGTGACAAGCTTGTGTTAATAATATCTGGAAACGGCCTGTATGACGCTGGCTCCAAAGCCCACTCACGGGCCTGAGGGGCCTGATGCTACGGCAGGGGAAGGCTGTTCCACAGGTGTCCACGTGAGGGCTCACATGCGCTCCTCTGAGGCCTCACGGTGATACAAGCCGTGGTTGAGCGCGATTAAAACCCATATTTGTTTCAAAAACACAATTTATGAGCCATCCTCTCAACTGCAGACATGTAGATTGTAAAGGAAATATGTTTTACATCAGCCAATAATTGCTGAGAGGTTTTCTCATCCTCCCTTCTCTCATGACAACACGCGCACGAGTCCTATCACGAAGTAAAAAGAGAAGTTCATTGTGCGTCTTGAGTAACGGGATGTCGGAAATGATAACGGCGTTATAGTTACTGTCAAAGTAATTAGTTAGATTACTCGTTACTGAAAAAAGTAACGGCGTTCCCATCACTGAGTATACATATACATCCCTAACACAAATGCACGGAGGTTTTCAGAATTATTTCTTAACGTTTTCATGACGAAAATAATGTTTTAATGTAACAAAAAGCGATCGTGATAAACCCGGAAGTTACCATTAACATGAAATGAACATTTTAGGACACATTTGAAGAGGATCTGATTATGGATTTAGGTTCGGTATATAAATGAGTAACTCACCGCTGATGTTCATAATTCTTTGTTCAGTTTTCTTGTAGTTTCAGAGAGTTTTTGAAATAGCAAGCTTAGCTCCATTGCCGCGGAGTCGGCGGACGGATTTCGTCAAAATGGCTGACTCGCGGCTATGGGTCATGTGACTGGGAGATCCCTATATGCAGATTCAGATTCAGTTTATTTGCCATTTGCAGTAAAAACACCACATTGGAATACAGTAGCAAAAAGTCTCCAGTGTGCACAGACAAATAGACATAAAACAACATTAAAAGACAGAAATAAAACAAAAAAACAGTAAACAAATGTCACTGTGAAATCGAAAGACTAAAACAGTTTCAAAACAAGTGCAAATCATTAAAGTGCTCTGTTCACACTGATAACAGCCTGTGGATAAAAACTGTTAGCGTAACGAGATGTCCTGCATCTCAGAGAGCGATATCTTCTGCCAGAGGGAAGAAGCTGGAACATGGCTTTTCCAGGGTGGCCAGAAGAGTCATTGATGTTTTTAAGAGCTTTGTTTAAAAGTCTGGATTTATAAAGAACCTCCAGAACAGGAAGCTCACAGCCCACGGTCCTCTTTGCAGAGCGGAGCACCTTGTTTAAAGCTCTCTTTTCTTTATCTGTGATGTTTCCAAACCACACAGACACAGAACCAACAAGTAAACTCTCAATGGTGCAGCGATAAAAGTTAAGCAGAATCTTAGAGTTAGTGGTAAATTCTCTAAGTTTACGCAGAAAGTAGAGACGCTGACGAGCTTTCTTAACAACTCGGTCAGTGTTTTTAACCCATTTCAGGTTAGACAGAGTTAAACCCAGAAACTTACACTCCTCTACAATCTGCACCTGGGAGTTGTCGATTACGACAGGCAAATGAGAATATTGCGACTGAAGTCGTGACCAGTTCACATGTTTTGGATGCGTTCAACTGGAGGTTGTTAGTTTTACTCCACTGAACCACATTTTTAATACCGCTTTAATACCGTTCCACATGTGTCGAGGGTCATCTTCCTCAAAATAACTCTTTAACCTGTCCCCGTAACTGCGCTTTGCAGATTTAATAGAACGTTTCAATGAGTAACAGGATAGCTTATAAGCAACTGTATCATTTGATTGAAACGCCAACGCACGCTCATGAAGTTTCAGTTTCACTTCTGCGTTCATCCAAGGGTTTTGACTAAAATGTTCTTTAATGACCTTCTGTGGGACACAGCAGTCAATACAGAAGCGTATGTATCCAGACACCGCGTCACAGAATTCATTGACGTCCTCTGACTGAAACACAGACCAGTCAGTGGCATCAAAACAACCTTGTAGCTTCATGCTAGCCTCCTCAGACCAACACTGCACAGTGCGAGAGGTTGGTTTATGTTCCCTGCTCCTCTGAGTATACGAAGGAAGAAGGAGAACAGAGGAGTGGTCAGACTTTCCAAAAGGAGGTCTGAGACTGGACCTGTAAGCTCCCTTCACGTTACTGTAGCAGTGATCCAGAACATGTGCTCCTCTTGTAGCTTGAGTCACATGTTTGTAAAAGTTCGGGAGTACAGTCTTTAAATTACATTTATTGAAATCCCCAGCAACAATGATGACTGCGTTAGGATGAGCAGACTCATGTTTGTGAAGGATCTCGCTCAGATCCTGTAGGGCTACTTTGTAATCCGCACGTGGGTGAATGTAAACAGCACATAAAAATATCACTGAAAACTCACGGGGAAGATAAAAAGGGCTGCAGCTCAAGACCAGGCATTCCAGATTGGCAGTACATGTTTGGTTCACGACTCGAGTGTCCGTGCACCAGCGCTGATTAATTAAAAAGCACACACCTCCGCCTCTGGCCTTGCCCGTGGTCTCCTTCACTCTGTCCGCGCGGTGAGCATCTGGTGTGTTTGGGAGTGATTAGGAGATTATTAAACATTTGGTTACGAGGTCCATTGAACTTTTGAATCCCTGCCAATATTGTTGAGATAATGTCCCAAAAATTAATTGATGTGCGGCCCTATATTCCAGTGGACTTCTCAAGAAAACCGCGTTCTCTTCGAGACGTAGACAGATGGAAAGCTACTGAATTTAGATTATTTCATCTTTACAGGGGCCCTGTCATGCTTTCCTCATTTTTGGACCGAGCAATGTATGATAATTTAGCTTTTTTTGTGTGGCGTATAGCTATTTTGTTGAATCCAAAATTATCTTGTCATGCCAATTATGCCCAAACTCTGTTAAAATCTTTTGTTGAGTACTTTGGCCGCATTTATGGGAATCATCAACTTGTGTACAACATCCATCCGTTGGTGCATCTTCCTAATGATGTTCATTTTCTTCATTTCCTTATGAGAGCGACCTTTACAAATTGAAAAAAATGCTGCGAAAGCCCCACTGTCCTGTTGCTCAAATAATTCGGCGTTTATCAGAGAGATGGACGTTACTGAGGGGAAATAAGAAAAAATAACTTTGAAAAAAGAACATCTTGCTGGTCCTTCTAATGTGCATAAACAGTACAGAGAAATGGTTTCTGAGAAGTGGACGTGGAAAATTTCTTTGGGTAATAATGTGTTTGCAACTGGAAAAGTCATCATTTTTTACATATCCCTTTGAATCAGACTTCTTGCAGATATTTGAAGTATCCTTCTAACCTACCGTAAAGTGCACGAGTAGAAGAGCTCACCCATAAGGTAGTTATTTTGCCCCACAAGGATCATTTTGTGGCTTTCCCCTTGTGCCATACATCATAAACAAAACGTATGATGGGTCCGGGGGTGGGTGCATGGGGCGAGATGTTTTTAATGTTATAATGTCTTTGTATAATCGGAATCCCTAATAACTGCAAATCAGACAGAAAGGGCAGAAAAAGCGGTGAAGAAAAAAGAGAGGCCATCAGGAGACAGGCGGAGCAACAAGGGCAGCGCGAGCAGGAGCAGCGCGAGCAGGAAAACCGTGAGTAGAGGGAGCAGCAGGAGGAGCAGCGCAAGCAGCAGGAGCAGCGGGAGCGGCGTGAGAGGCAGTAGGAAGAGAAAAGGTAGCAGGGGGAAAAGAGGCAGCAGGAAGAGCAGCGTGAGCGGCCAGAGCAGCGCGAGCGGCGGGAGGAGCAGCACGAGCAAGCGCAGCGTGAGCATCAGGAGCGGCAGGAGCAGCACTGGTTGAATTGGGGGGTGTCCTTTATAGGCAGGTGTTCCGCCCCGATGGCAGTGGAGCCAGTTTTCAGTTCCTTCTGCCTAGAACCTTGGTTGAGGAGGTTCTTACGCAAGTCCATCAGGAACATGGGCATCAAGGGGTCGAAAGGACACTGGGCCTTCTACGCTCCCGCTGCTATTGGCCAGGCATGTCCCTGGGGTGTGAGCGTTGTCAGTTTGCGAAGGACCACAACGTTGGGGCTCACGCTTACATGGGCCACTTGTTGGCCTCCAAGCCCAACGAGATTGTGGCCATCGACTTTACCTTGTTGGAGCCCACCTCAGCTGGGTTGGAGAACGTTTTGGTGCTGACGGATGTATTCAGCAAATACACGCTGGCGTTCCCGACCAGAGACCAGCGCGCCTCCACCGTGGCGCAGGTCTTGGTCACAGAATGGTTCTTGAAGTTTGGCCTGCCTGCCCGCATCCACTCGGATCAGGGGCGCAACTTTGAGAGCTTGCTCATCCAACAGTTGTGCAGTTTGTATGGAGTTGTGAAGTCTCGCACCACCCCGTACCACCCCTCGGGGAATGGGCAGTGCGAGCGCTTCAACCGAACGCTGCACAACTGGTTGCGCACCTTGCCCGTTTCCCGTAAGCGGGATTGGTCTAACTGTCTGCCTCAACTGTTATATGCTTATAACACCACTCCCCACCAGTTAACAGGGGAGTCCCCATTTTTCCTGATGTTTGGGCAGGAACCCTGACTCCCTGTGGACTTCCTGCTCGGGCAGGTACCAGAGCCGTGGGGGGGGCACTACACATGAGTGGGTACGTGAACATCAGACCTGCCTGCAGATAGCTTTTGACGAGCCGAAAGAAAAGATGCGGCTTGCAGCCGTTCGCCGAAAGGCTAACTTTGATCGAGATGTTAGGGAGGCACCGTTGGATGAGGGTCAGCAGGTGTTGCTCAGAGACTGCGCGGTTAGGGGACGGCAGAAGATTAAAGATCTTTGGTGTCCTGTAGCCCACGTGGTGGTGAAGGCACCACCAGAGGATGGGGTGGTGTACACCATTGCACCAATAGATCAGCCAATCAACATCAAGCGGGTACATCGCTCTCTGTTAACCCTCCAAGGTCTAGGGTAATTTTGGGGAACTTTCCTCGCCTGGTTTTCTTTGTGTAAAATTGCTCATAAAATAGTCATTTTCTGATGCAGAGTCAAGCAGGATACTTTGTTTTTTTCAGTACAACCTGGGGGTTTAGAATATCTATATTTTGGAGCTGTCATATCAATTATATAAAAAAATTGGAGTCATGAAGACAAAGAAAAAATTGAAACGGAAAATCAATTTCACAAAAATGTATTTAAAAAAAACAATGAAATGCTATAAACAACTGTTTACACTGCATAGAAATGTGTTTTATGGTCTTGGGGATAATGGGGAAAAAATTTGAATCCGTAACTTTTATACTTTTTACAAAATTCCTCTATAAAAGCCAAAAACGCTGTACTCCTGATGCCCTTCCTCAAGCAGTTTGTCTATGAGGCTGTGGTTGCTTCTGTATCACAGCTGTAAAATATGTAAAACAAAAGAAACTAAGACAACAACAAAAAAAAAACATCAAATTTATATATATAAATACATTATATACACATAATATCATTTTACTGTATTTATTATTGTCTATTCTCAATAATGCGAACTCCTCTGGTTCCTCTGAGCGCTGCTGCCTATGCTGCAACAAGTAAACACAGAGGAGTGAGCCATCTCACTCTCTGACAATCTTTGTCTGAGTCCCCGTGTGTGTAAACAACTTTACATGCGGCTGTGCCTGGCTCACTGAAGATCCGTTTGGGGGACTGAATTTCATACACACGTAGTTTATCCCCCGTATGTAGCAGAGACAAACCAAAGGCAGTTTCGGAAAGGCTGGAATGTGTACTTCACGGAGATAAAAAACCAGAAAAGTGCTGATGGGGCCAGGCAGGTCACAGTTAAAAGTCAAAGGCAAGTTTACTGCAACTCTCAAAAGAAAAGATAAAAGCATAATGGAAGACATTTATGTTGTTGAAGGACTAAGTACAGCTTTACTGAGCAGGCAAGCAGCCACTGCACTACAGCTAGTAGCTAGGCTCGATACAGCTACGTTGGACACTAAAGGAACAGTCAAGCAGGAATTTCCGGAGCTGTTCACAGGACTTGGAACTATGAAAGGAGAATACAATATTGTACTTAAACCGGGAGCTCAACCATACTCTATCTCAACTCCACGGCGCATTTCTCTCCCTCTACTGCCAAAGGTTAAAGAGGAACTGTACCGCATGGAGCGACAAGGAGTCATCTCCAAGGTGGAGCAACCTACAGAATGGTGCGCGCCTATGGTGGTGGTTCCCAAACCGGCACAAGAACGAGTGAGAATATGCTCTGACCTGACTCAACTCAACAAATCTGTGTTAAGAGAGAGGCACCAGCTACCTTCAGTAGAAAACACATTGGGACAGCTCTCAGGCGCCAAGGTATTTTCAAAGCTAGATGCCAATGCTGGTTTCTGGCAGATTCCTCTTTCAAAAGATTCATCGTTGCTCACAACCTTTATAACTCCCTTCGGTCGCTATTGCTACAATCGACTGTGCTTTGGACTCTCTTCAGCGCCAGAACACTTCCAGAAACGCATGCAGAAAATCCTGGAGGGCTTGGAGGGAGTCGTGTGTCAAATGGATGACGTCCTCATCTGGGGAGTGGATCAAAAAGAGCACGACGAAAGGCTAAGAAGAGCTCTCACACGTCTGCGAGACGCAGGTGTGACACTGAATGACAAGTGTGAATTTTCAAAGACTAAAATCAAGTTCCTAGGTCAGATCATTCAGGCATCTGGAGTCAGCCCCGACCCAGATAAATTGAACGCAGTAACGGCCATGAAAGAGCCAACCAACATTTCAGAGGTGAGACGGTTCCTGGGGATGGCAAACCACCTGGGAAAGTTTTTGCCACACTTGGCAGAGAAGACACGCCCACTCAGAGATCTGTTGAGAAAAACAAACATGTGGTCATGGGGACCTCAGCAGTTGCAGGCTTTTGAAAGCATAAAACAGGACTTGACAACACCCCCTGGACTGGCACTGTATGATCCCTCCGCGGACACGCTAGTCTCAGCGGATTCATCTTCCTATGGACTTGGTGCTGTTCTGTTACAGAAAACTAGCAGTACAGACTGGAAACCAGTGGCATACGCATCACGAGCGTTGAGTACCACAGAGCAGCGCTATGCGCAAATCGAGAAAGAAGCACTAGCCACAACATGGGCTTGTGAAAGATTTGCAGAGTTTTTTGATCGGAAATAACTTTCACATCCAAACCGACCACAAACCTCTAGTCCCACTGCTAGGCGCAAGAAATCTGGATGAACTGCCTCCACGTATACAACGTCTGAAAATGCGTCTAATGAGATTTTCATTCACCATATCACACGTGGCTGGCAAAGAGATTGCAACGGCTGATGTTCTGTCGAGAGCACCAGTAGCATGTTCAGAGGAGCAACTACGCGAGGAGGAGATCAACCTCTATGCTGACACCGTCGTAGCCAGCCTCCCTGCAACTGAGAAGAGACTCGAGGAGATACAGACTCACCAGGACAAAGATGACATTCTGCAGCAGCTCAAGCAGTTTTGTGTAAGTGGTTGGCCAGACAGGTTTTCAATTGAAAAGACTTTTCTGCCATACTTACCTTTCGCGGGGGAACTGACGGTTCAGAATGGTTTGTTGTTGTTAGGCTGTAGGCTTGTCATACCGAAAACACTCAGGGGTGACATACTAAACAAACTACACGAGGGCCACTTAGGAATAACAAAGTGCAGAGAACGTGCTAAACAATCCGTATGGTGGCCAGGTCTTAACAAGGATCTAACACAGCTCATTGAGAAATGTGACACGTGTGCCCGTGAGCGAGTTAACAACAAAGAGACTATGTTAGGTACTGACTTTCCTTCCAGACCATGGTGTACAGTAGGCATGGATCTCTTTCAGTTTGGTAAAAACCAGTATCTCGCTGTAGTAGATTACTTCTCAAGGTTTTTTGAGGTAGCCAAACTTTCGTGTACAACTTCAGAAGCTGTTATTACCCACTGTAAGTCTATTTTTGCTAGACATGGTATCCCTGAGGTTGTACGCTCAGACAATGGTCCACAATTTGCGTCGGAAGCATTCGGAAAGTTTGCACAGATGTGGGGTTTTTCACATGTCACATCCAGTCCGCACTTCCCACAGAGTAATGGGGAGGTGGAGCGGGCTATACGGACAATCAAAAATCTACTAAAGAAATCTAGTGATCCCTACTTAGCTTTAATGGCTTACCGTGCCTCACCCTTAGCTAATGGTTATAGTCCAACTGAACTGCTCATGGGGCGTAAGATACGTACTACTGTTCCTGTCATTCCTTCTCAGCTCACTCCAAAAGGAGCTGATTTGGGAAAAGTGAAGAAGAAAGAACAGAGTTACAGACAAAAACAAAAACTGAACTTTGACAAAAGACACAGAGCTCACAACATGCCCAGCTTGCATCCTGGAGACCGTGTGTGGGTAAAGGACATGCAACAGAGAGGAACTGTAGTGTCTACTACAGACACACCAAGATCCTACATCATTGAAACGTCGGGCGGCAATCTCCGGAGAAACAGGTACCATCTCTCACGCACACCTGTAGCTCCTGAGCCACACATCACCGTCCCGGATATGGCGGAAAGCAACCCTACAGAGACTGTGAATAGACCGGTCTCACCTGTTGTACTCCATGAATCTAACCAGCAAACACCCGAGTCTGAAAGTCGCTATCCTTCTCGCATCAGGAAGACACCGGAGTACCTTAAAGATTATGCAACATAGTTGACGTTATTTCGGGGCAGAATAATCCCCATATTCAACTCTAGGGATTGGGCAGTCTACCCCATTCCCTCGTTCTTCTCACCATGTAGTTATAAATAAATACGTTCTTTAAGATACAAAAGAAAATGTTATTACCAATTTCATTATAAGTTGTTTTTCCTGGGTACACAATGTGAACGTATTGATGGCATATAATTTCAACCTCTCCAGCACATGTGATAACAAATCTAATGTTGCTACACTAAAATTTGTTCCTGTAAAGAAAGGGGGATGTAGTGATAGGCTGGGTAGGAACCTTTGTATGCTGGTGGTATGTTGCTGGGGGGAGGACAATGAATAAAACGTTCCGCTTTGACTTCAACCTGCTCTCGTCCGTCTCTGTTCTAAAGGGTTTCTATGTACCTATAAAACATTAGAACACTAGCGTTCACCGTTTGCGAGTAAATTGATCATTTGTAAAACATGTGCGCCACCATCGTCGGCGATGGCATCGTCTTTTAAGGGTTAAAGGCCCTGGTTTGTGTGGAAGAGGGGAGCGCGGCCCCAGCCTCGGGTCCTCCCACTGTTCTTTCTGTGCAGAGCCCAGGAAGCGAGTTGTCGGAAGAGGACGATCTGTTCCTCCTGCACCAGGACCCTCTGCAGCCTCAGGAGGTTTTAAACGTGCCTTCTGTCACAAGGGAAACCGGCGCAGCCTAGCTCTTCTGTCCCTGGCCCTAGTTTTATCACACCTGCACCCCCAATTGTACCACCCCCACCCGTGTTGGGTAACAGGGAGGCCACCTGTGACTTTAGTGAGCCACAGGTACGCAGGTCTACACGGTCTACCGCTGGAAGACATTCAAATCCCCATCATCTTCCAAAGCTGGTATAACTACCACCCGGAAAATAAGGCCCCTTGACCTTGCAGGGTGTGGTCACTTTGTCATCGGCGGGCCGCCGATGCAGTTTTGGGGGGGTGGAATGTGGCAGTACGGGGTGTGGGCGGGCTCTTAGTTTGAGGGCGAGTTCCAATTGGCCGCTTGTGCTGGCCGTCAGCCCAAAAAAGCACTGCTGTGATTGCTCCTCTACCTCTGGCCTCTTGCTTTGGCCCCGCCCACCGGTGTGCATTTCCGTGTGCTGTCTGACACCTCGCAGCAGGTAATACCAGTTGATTCACTGTTAGCTTCTAAAATGGACAGTGGTTAACGTCACTGGACGTCACTGTCTTGAAGCCACGCACCCAATGCGCTGATCTACACGGCTCTGTGTCTTAGTAACGGTAAGCGCTCTTGTTCCACAAACACTCTACGAACACGCTCTTAGCATTGTGTTTGTTTAGGCTCAATCTTTAGCACCCTTGTCCTCTCCCTCATTGGAGCTGCAAATAAGTTCTAGTTGTAAGTATGCCTGTTTAATGTGTGATAGGATAACAATATGTAAATGTATGTGCCTCCCCTTATGCATTTAGACGCTGCCGCTTTGCCCACTCTCATCTATGCGTCTTTCCGCGCGCTGTGCTGTCTGCTGGTGCTGCCTGCTCGCTGCTGTGGCTGCCTGCTCGCTGCTGTGGCTGCCTGCTCGCTGCTGTGGCTGCCTGCTCGCTGCTGTGGCTGCCTGCTCTCTGCTGGGGCTGCCTGCTGTTCGCTTTGCTGCCCGCGTCCCTGTTGAAGTTTGGAGATTGGGGTAGCCCACCCTGCTTCGCTCGCAGCACCCAGGGCCCGCATATCCCAGCAATGCACCCAGAGACGTTGACACGAGAGACTTAAAAGACTGCACCTTCCATGCTCCTCAAGCCTTGATGTCTTTTATTTGATTGACTGTCCGTTCACCTACACTGCCTATTGTGACCATGCTTTTGGTTTTGTAGGGGCTGAAGGTCCGACACCATGGTGGTGGATTTCTCTGGTGGTGGTTCCTGTTTGGGTTTGGTTTGCACATTTTAGCTCTCCGCCCCTTTTAGTTCTCCCCTCACGGTTAGGCCTCAGCCCCGAATTTCTTTAGCGTGTGTAGTGAGTGTGATTGGGTGTGTACGGTGTTTGATGGTGTGCGTGTGGTGTGCTTGATGGTGTGCGTGGGGTGTGCTTGCTGTGCGCGTGATGTGTGATTTTTATTAACTAGGACTCAGAACTTTTAATTGTTAAATTAAAATAAAACTTTTGTACTATTGAATGGGACTGTCTCTGCCTCCTCAGTAAAACTTACCTGTGTGCTCTATTCAAGTTAATTATATTTTCCCAGGTAATAGACCTGGGTGGCGTTGCTGATTCTAAATTTGCCACTCTAATTCTTCCACCGCTCACGCTACACATATATATATATGTTGGGTGGACTGGGGGAGGGGTCTTGGGCCGGCGGGATTGTTTTTAACCAAATTGTAAAGCACTTTGTGTTGCATTTTTTGTATGAAAAGCGCTTTATAAATAAAATGTGATTGATTGATTGATATATATACAGTGCCTTGCGAAAGTATTCGGCCCCCTTGAACCTTTCAACATTTCAGGCTTCAAACATAAAGATATAAAATTTTAATTTTGTGTCATGAATCAATAAGTGGGACACAATCGTGAAGTGGAACTTTATTGGATAATTTAAACTTTTGTAACAAATAAAAAAACTGAAAAGTGGGCCAAGAGGAACCTGGAAAGACAAAAATACACTTTCACATAATAGCAAATAACATTTCACTTATACAGTACTTTGGATCGGGGGAGTTCAAACCAGTCCAGATGGCCGGTGACTTTGGTCTGAGGAAACCTGCAGCCACAGCAGCCCTTTCTGGAGCGGTTTGGAGAACCCTGCTTAGATTAAAGGATTTCTGATTGCATTTGCATAGGTATGTGAGAGTATTCAACTGGTTAGAATAAATTATTTGCTTGAATTGAGACAATATTTTTTTTTTGTATTGCATAGTTTTACCATTCAAAAGTTTAAAGTGAATGCCAATGTTATGTTGTCAATGAAATCTCATGCCTTCAATAGGTTACAAAATAAATATAAAATATACTGAAGAAGACATTGATGAGTGCAAAGGGCTGGGCAATAAATCGAATTTAGGCAATTAATCGGCTCTTGAAAAAATCTAATTTGTGAAAAATGTGAAATCGAAGGATATAGTGAGAGTTCCAGCAGCACATGAATTATACTTGCAATATCAGCAGAGTCTGTACAAGACTTTTATAATACGTATTGGGGAAATAAATTAAAATGAAAATTTAATTTGTTAAAAATAGTTTTGAAACTTGAATATTGAGTTGAAAGATCTCAAAATATTTTTAAGGGCAAAGTCGGCAAATTTAATTAAAATCAATTTAAAATCGAAATCGTCCAAAGCAGGAAATAAAATCGAGATTTAACTTTTTTGCCATATCGCCCAGCCCTAGTCTAAATGAATCGCTCAAAGGCTGGTCATCTTCATCACTTACAAAGTCAGAGGACTGAGTCAGAGCGCTGAGGAGCCAGAACGTGGTCAGAGAGATTGCGCTGGTGTTGCGGTCAGGAAGAGTCTTCAGAAGAATGTCTTCATTCGCTTTCCCCTTTACAGTCGGTGGAGCCTGTTGCAAGGAGCTCGGCATATTGGGCAAAAAACCACCAAAGTCCAACTGCAAACATCCAAATATAACACGTCTGTAAGGTCAAGCTTGGTTAGAGTATACTTCACTGTCTCCGTAGGGTCATCTCCAAATGTGTCACATATTTGTTTGTAATAAGCAACACCATAGATTGATGCAGAGGTAGCAAGTAACGTTTTTTACTTACATTGTTTTTCCCTGACAACTGTACTGACGTCACATGTGACCAAGTATGTTCTACTCCTAACATTTTGAAAAATTGATAGTTACTTTGGAGACAACGATAAACAGAAAAGTGATCACTGCTCTCCTCTGGTCAGACGAGAAATGTACAGGGAACAAGGGGTTCTCTTTGCTGGGAATACGGCACGATTATAATAAGCAGAACATGAGAGAAGTCGGTAGGTTAATCAAAAAAGCAAAAAAGGCCGGGAAATTGAAAGCAATTCCCTCAAACCACAAGATTGAGGCGGTCAGGAAGGTGGCTGGCTATGATGAGGAAACAAATCTATACAAGACCCCTTTGTTAGCTCTAAAACTTGGTCACAGCCTCAAAAGCTAGCAGATATTCTTTATGGAGACTTTATGGAAAAATGTGTCGATGAACATTTCATAAAAAACCTCCAATGAAGCATGCAAATATCGACGTATGTTTCAGTAAATATTTACAGAACTTAAAGTGTTAGAAAGACTGTTAAGATAATGTTAAGTTAGGGTATAGCACCCACTATTGGCATTATAATGTATGCGCACGCTCTTTAGTTAGAGCACGCTGTATTTGTTTCTTTATTTAAGCACGAGGCTCTGCAAAAACAGGTGTGTGTCACTCTACTAGTACTTAAAGGACAACTCACCCTCAAATCCACTTTTTTTTGCTGATAAACTGTATAAATGAGTGTCCAATAGTGTTGTGTACATAAATTGTAAATTGTAAACCGCTTTGTGACTGGCCTGGGAAAGGCGGTATATAAATAAACATTACTTACTTACTTACTTACTTTAGTGCAAATTAGTTGAACGATCAACTTTCTGCTAAAACCGTCTGTGAGGCGCCATCTGCAGGCGACCTGTATTAGTACATTTGAATTTTGAATCTGGCGCCACCTGTTGGGGGAGCCGTGATGGCTGACGTCTGCAGTGAAGGCTGACGTCAGTTGCCCTGCCGCCCTGAGGTATATAAACGGCCCAGTCTCGTTCACGCCCCCGTGAAGAGTTGGAGAAGGAATAGCAGAGAGTATTTTCATCGATCGTCAGGTTTGCGATTAGTTATAGCATTTAGGTAGATTTTTATTAGCATAGCTGTTTGTATTATAGATAATTGTGTAGTGTTAATAGCGTTGTTGTTGAATATTGTAGTTTTAGTCTTTGGTTGATTTTATTGTTAGATTAGTTAGCTGAATTTAGCTTAGGCCTTTAGTTAGTATTACTAGTGTTCTATATCATGTGCAATTTCATTGTATATTGTTTATTGTACTTGTGTACAATAAATACTACTTTATGTTTGAGCGTGTGTTAAATTACTGTCTCTTTTGTGCACATTGGGGTATCATTTCTATCCAAAATGCCTTTGGGGTTTCCATGCAGCACAAGTTTTCCCTTGGGGACAAAGAGGTGCAGTGGCCACAGGTTATTGTGGCACAGTTAAGAATATTATAACTATATGACCCCACAACATATAGTTTCTTGGTCTGGGTTCATAAATAAAATGTATGCTCAGTTCTATAAACATTTCTGGCCAGTACTTTCACCATTATTCACTAATCCTTAAGCCCAATAAAGATCCAACACTCCCATCAAGCTACAGACCCATCTCACTAATCAACGTTGACACTAAATTTTTATCCAAAACACTTGCCCACTGACTAGTAAAAGTAATCCCCACAATCATCCATCCTGATCAAACAGGTTTTATCAAAGGCAGACACGCATCCACCAACACCCGGAGACTCTACAATCTAATTCACGGGTCATCATTACATTACGACAAATCCATCATCATCATGTGGACGCCTCCCTGGGGAGGTGTTCCGGGCACGTCCCACCGGGAGGAGGCCCCGGGGAAGACCCAGGACACGCTGGAGGGACTATGTCTCTCAGCTGGCCTGGGAACGCCTTGGGGTCCCCCCGGACGAGCTGGAGGAAGTGTGTGTGGATAGGGAAGTCTGGCCGTCTCTGCTTAGACTGCTGCCCCCGCGACCCGGCAACGGATAAAGCGGAAGAAAATGGATGGAAATCCATCATAGCTACTTTAGACGCCGAGAAGGCCTTTGACAGGGTGGACTGGACTTTCCTGTTTGCCACAATGGAGAGGTTTGGTTTCCGGGGCTCATTCATCAATTGGTTAAAGAGCGACTAAACACCAAATCAACTTTTTTTAACTCATAAACTGCATAAGTATGTTTATTGTAGTGCTGTCTACATATTCTGGTCATTTTTTTGACATTTTAGTTCAAATTAGATAAAATATCACCTTTGAGCCAAAAAACGCTGTGTGGCGCCCTCTCAACCTTTTTGGTGGTACTACATTTGAATTTGGTTCTGGCCTCTCCATTGACTCTGAAGTTCTCTATGACATCAGTTGTTTTGTGTGACGTCAGTCTGTCAGAGCCAGTGATGTGAAGCCTTTCAACTCTCACACAGCCCCAGCTGCAGTTTGGAGTATTCTGGCGCCATCTAGTGGATTAAAATTAAATTACATGAGTCATTCTGAGATTATTGAGTGTGATTAGGTTCAGGTGTGTAGCTTTACAATTATCTTAGTGTGTAAACAAGGGTGGAATGAGACTTTCTGGTCTGTAAACTATTGCTTTAAGCAGAAATGACAACTGTCTGTTTTTTTGTGTGTGACAAGTGAGCTGTCAATCACAGCCCAGACCACGCCCAACTCTAAGCCCCCCTTCTTGTGCCTTGGTCCTCCAGGCAACGCCCTTTTTAGAGAAAAATTTCAAATCTTCATGTGGGCGGAGTAAGGCTGGGCACAGGTGTTTAGTCGCTCTTTAAGGATTCTACTGTATACACTTCACCTACAGCCACTGTCATCACCAACGGTCAAAAATCACGTCACTTCACTCTACACCGAGGAAATCGCCAAGGATGCCCACTCTCTCCACTCCTATTCCTACTATTCATAGAACCTCTCGCAGCAGCAGTCCGTCAAAATAACCAGATCAAAGGATTCCAAACACAAATCATAGAACACAAAATCAGCCTCTATGCAGACGACATCCTCCTCTTTCTACAAAATCCCACATCCTCACTATGCCATACAATAAACCTAATTGAATCATTCCAAAGTCTCCCAATACTCAATAAACTGGAACAAATCATCTATACTTCCCCTACATCCAAACAGCTGGGATGTGACAGCCACATCACCCCCAATCCCACTCTCCACTCGCCACATCACCTACCTGCGAATAAAGGTTTCCGCCATACTGTCAGAGCTGTTTTCTCTTAATTTCACAATCTCCAACGTTGGATGAACCTCCCAGTCTTACTTAAAGGCAGAATAGCAATAATAAAAATGTCAATCCTTCCCAAAATCAATGACCTCTTTTTAATGACCGCAGCACAACCAGCCTTGACCTGCTTCAAATCTCTCAACACAGCTATTAACACATTTTATTGGAAAAACAAACCCCCAAGAATCAAACTCACCACACTACAGAAACCCAAACTTCAGGGCGGACTCAACGCACCAACCCACTACTCATTATCAGCCCACCTACAGTACATACACAAATGGATCCACCCAAACACAGAAGACGCAATTTGGACAGACGTCGAACAAACAATATGCAAATATATCAAACTCTCAGACCTAGCCTTTTTAAACTGCACTATTGAAAATTATCCTTTTTTGAAAGCTCCATAAATAAAATGTACAGACAAAACTGTCAAGCAAAGCACCGCAACATAAGGGGTTACTGTATGGGACTATGGGAAGGCTAGCTACATACAGTGCCTTGCGAAAGTATTCGGCCCCCTTGAACCTTTCAACATTTCGCCACATTTCAGGCTTCAAACATAAAGATATAAAATTGTAATTTTTTGTCATGAATCAACAACAAGTGGGACACAATCGTGAAGTGGAACAACATTTATTGGATAATTTAAACTTTTTTAACAAATAAAAAACTGAAAAGTGGGGTGTGCAATATTATTGGGCCCCTTTACTTTCAGTGCAGCAAACTCAGTCCAGAAGTTCAGTGAGGATCTTTGAATGATCCAATGTTGTCCTAAATGACTGATGATGATAAATAGAATGCACCTGTGTGTAATCAAGTCTCCGTATAAATGCACCTGCTCTTTGATAGTCTCAGGGTTCTGTGTAAGCGCAGAGAGAACCATGAAGACAAAGGAACACACCAGGCAGGTCCGAGATACTGTTGCGGAGAAGTTTACAGCCGGATTTGGATACAAAAAGATTTCCCAAGCTTTAAACATCTCAAGGAGCACTGCGCAAGCAATTATATTGAAATGGAAGGAGTATCAGACCACTGCAAATCTACCAAGACCCGGCCGTCCCTCCAAACTTTCATCTCAAACAAGAAGAAGACTGATCAGAGATGCAGCCAAGAGGCCCATGATCACTCTGGATGAACTGCAGATAACTACAGCTGAGGTGGGAGAGTCTGTCCATAGGACAACAATCAGTCGTGCACTGCACAAATCTGGCCTTTATGGAAGAGTGGCAAGAAGAAAGCCATTTCTCAAAGATATCCATAAAAAGTCTCGTTTAAAGTTTGCCACAAGCCACCTGGGAGACACACCAAACATGTGGAAGAAGGTGCTCTGGTCAGATGAAACCAAAATCGAACTTTTTGGCCACAATGCAAAACGATATGTTTGGCGTAAAAGCAACACAGCTCATCACCCTGAACACACCATCCCCACTGTCAAACATGGTGGTGGCAGCATCATGCTTTGGGCCTGCTTTTCTTCAGCAGGGACAGGGAAGATGGCTAAAATTGATGGGAAGATGGATGGAGCCAAATACAGGACCATTCTGGAAGAAAACCTGTTGGAGTCTGCAAAAGACCTGAGACTGGGACGGAGATTTATCTTCCAACAGGACAATGATCCAAAACATAAAGCCAAATCTACAATGGAATGGTTCACAAATAGACGTATCCAGGTGTTAGAATGGCCAAGTCAAAGTCCAGACCTGAATCCAATCGAGAATCTGTGGAAAGAGCTGAAGACTGCTGTTCACAAACGCTCTCCATCCAACCTCACTGAGCTCGAGCTGTTTTGCAAGGAAGAATGGGCAAGAATTCCAGTCTCTCCATGTGCAAAACTGATAGAGAGACAAACCCCAAGCGACTTGCAGCTGTAATTACAGCAAAAGGTGGCGCTACAAAGTATTAGCGCAAGGGGGCCGAATAATATTGCACGCCCCACTTTTCAGTTTTTTATTTGTTAAAAAAGTTTAAATTATCCAAAAATTTCGTTCCTCTTCACGATTGTGTCCCACTTGTTGTTGATTCTTGACAAAAAAAATATTTTTATGTATCTTTATGTTTGAAGCCTGAAATGTGGCACTTGACATCAGCCAATGCTGATGTCAAGTGTCAATCACAGCTTAGACCCGCCCAACATTCATCCCCCCGCCTGGCCCCTTTATGCTGCTTTCAGACCGCCAACGCTGGAACGCTGAAGCCTCGCTCACCAGACGCATATTCTCTAGTTTTCAGACACAGGGGTCTTCAGACCAGAAGTCCTGGCGTGCGCCAGAAGTGGCGGAAGTAGACGGCGGGCTTTGATGCTAACAGAGTTAAGCTAGCGGCTTCTTGTGTTAAGTTCTTCTCTAATAAGTAAGTCATATTTATTTATATACCGCCTTTCACAGACCTGAGTCACAAAGCGGTTTACAATTGTTATTTTTTGGGCACTTGTCCTCTCACTGTCATCGGGCGTCACCATGTAGCAAAAACAGGTGTGTGTCACTCTACTTGTACTTAAGACTAGTACTTTTGCTATCTCTGGATCTGATAGTAGTAGTAGTAGAAAGATAGATATGTAATGGTACATATTTTGAGTGTGTAACTATTGTACAAACGGAGCATATGAACTTACATGTCCATTGTTGACAGCTGTGTGCTGGGCTGAGGAATTGAAAATGACCATGGTCACAAACTTCACCAACTCATCCACAGTACAGAACCTCTGTGGGATTCCTGCAAAAACATTTTGATCAAATATTACAGTGGTAGTAAAGAGATATGGGAAATTTGTTTTTTCTAATGACTTACCGCTTTCTGTTTCAGACAGAAAGCCATATTCAAATACTTCCTTGATATAAGCCTGCAGCTCAGGGTCATCTTTGACCTCCGCATCGTTCTTGTAGTAGTGCTTTATCACTCCTGTCACAAACCTAAAGGATGAAGAGGATGAAGTCGCTTCACATAGTGCTATGTCACAATACAACTCCTGAAGAGCGTCAAGTGGGAACTGTGGAAGTCTTTCCTGTGTAAATTATGCTACAACCACTACTACAATGGTTTCTGCTCAACATGGGAAGCAAAGCCAAAGATTATTGTTTATTGATGTTCAGTCCTGACGAGAACCAGGAAGTGCCATCACATTAGTCCAGTTCTCAGGTCTCTGCACTGGATTCCTGTGACTCAGACTTGGATTTTAAAGCAGCTCTGTTCGTTACAAGTCTCTCCATGGCCTCGCACCAAAGTACATCTGAGACATGTTAGTACCATATGAACCAACTCGGTCTCTGAGGAGCTGAGGGACTGACCTCCCGGTGCCCAGAGTCAGGACTAAACATGGGGAGATTCACGCAACTAAATTCAGGGACAGTATTCCGGAAAATGTGAGACAGTCTTCTCTGACATTGTTCAAATTCAAGTTAAAAACAGGTCTGTTTTGCTGTGCTACAACTGAGGGATTTAAAAAAAATATTTTTGTGTTAATTGTTTTGTAATTGTTGTTATGTTCTGCACTTTGACTTGCCTTGTGTATGAACTGTGCTATACAATTAAACTTGCCTTGCCTTACAGTACGTATGATATGGTATTTGTCTATTCCTCACTCCAGTACCTGTGCATGATGTCCCAAAGCTTGAGTGCGTCGTCTCTGTAGTAGTAGTTGGGCACCTTCTCCACTCCTCTCTCCTTAATGTTGTCTGGGACACACAGGGAGCTGTAGGTGACCGAGGACAGCGCCCTCTGCAGGATGGTGATTATTCCATCTGCTCCACAGGCGCTGTTCTGATTAATGTACACAAGAATGTACACATTAATCAGTAATAGTAATATAGCAGCTTCCTGTTGCCTAAAGCCACGGAGAGGCGAGTTAGGTCCAATAACAGCGTATGACGCGCTAAATAATATAGAAAAACAAACGGAGAGGCTGGATCCAGTTGTGAAGTAGATTAATTAATAAACGCTGCGGTCACAGGCAAAATTTGTGGTGAATACACAATACATTACTCCTCCACCAGGCAAACATGAATTCATTAAAAACAGTGCCCAAACGGGTCTCCTACAAGAAACATACTACTGTAGCTCACCTGTGTTATAAGCCCGTCTTTAGAAATCAGCCTCTCTCTGGCCCTGATGTTGATATGCAGAGTGTAACGAGTGTGAGGAACCAGAAGCTGCAAAGAAAAACAGAAAACACTTAAACTAAATCTAATAAACACTGACTGTTCAAGATTGGGGACAAATATTTGTGTGTTCAGACTTTTGACGGTCATTTTTCATTCAGAATGCAATTACTTATTGGGTAAGATTTCTTTATTTCAAGATGGCTGCTTGATCACCTGTGCACCTGTGCGCTCTCTTCAGAAAAGTTCCAAATTATTTGGATATACAGCAAATTAAAAAGATATTGGCACAGTTTTAGTTGGTTAAACGTCTGTGGAAAGCAACAGACCGATAATATGGCAGATACAGTAATACACGGCAGCGTAAGGGAAAAGACGCTGAAGCTGATGGTGGCATTGTGGCACTAGTGAATGAATGAAATCCCTGAGCGCAAAAAAAGAAAATGCAAAATTCCCTTGAGCAACAGATAAACGACAAATTCTCCAGCCTGGATGAACGAATGGGAATGGGCCTGAATGGGCCTGACTCTCATTTCTGAGAGTCAGGCCAGTATGAAGGCCGAGCTGGAGAAAACGACTGCGGAAATACATGCTAATCTGGATACTGAGGTGGGAATAATGACCTCCAGAATGGAGAGGATCGAAGCAAAAATTGCTGCCAAACACGCAAAACCAAGCTTTGATCCGAGTGTCTCAGTCATCATTGTGGGGCTACAAAAAGAGAATAATGAGGATCTCATGGCTAAAATCCTGACTCTACTATGTGACGGCCTTGGGTGTGATCCGGTGCCTACCCCGGCGGCGGTGGAACGCATTCGTGCGCGAGGCAACAACGGCTTGGTCAAAGTGGAGCCGCAGTCAGTTGAGGAGAAGGTGTCGGTGCTACGACGCAAAGCAAAGCTAAAGGACCACGATCGCAACCAGAGAGTTTTTGTGTCTTCAGCTAAGTCCCACGCAGAAAGGCTGGTGGATTTAAACTTCAGGACTCTTATGAGAGAAACGCAGCTTGGGAAAGACTTTTATTTGGCTGCAAGTGGAAAACTGACCAAACAGTGCCCAGTCCGTGAGTACTGATTTTCAGCAACCCTTAGCAACAGCAACCCTTGCTCTTGTACATTGGAACGTAAATGGCTGGACACGATTTAACTGCACACTCCGGGCATCCTTGTTGCAGTCACTAAACCTGGACATTATTGCACTTAATGAAACGCACTTGGTTGCCGAAGACGCAGCCGAGCTAAGTGGCTATAGTTGGTTTGGAAACAACAGAAAAAGACACATACATGCACCTAGGAGTTGGATTATTGGTCAGATCAAGGCTTTTTGATCATTTTAAAATCCATGTGGTGGATAAGTCTGTGGATGATATTATAGGTGTGCTCTTTGAATACCGCACCACCAGCTATAGTTTTGTTGTTTTCTCCTGTTATCTTTCCCCGGAGGGTTCTGTCAGAGGGAAAAACTGTGAAGCATTCTTTTCCGCTCTACTGTCTCAAATATACTGCTTAGACGTGGATGCAATGCATGTTCATGGCGATTTTAATTGTCGCGTTGCTGATAAAGAGGACTGTATTGAAGGCCTGGACAATATTCCGTCTAGAGTGGCGCTGGATCTTATTTCTAATAGTCACGGGGACTTGTTTCTTCATTTTTTGAAAGACTCAAAGTGTTGTATTTTGAATGGCAGGCTTAATGTGAACGATGATAATTTCAGCTCTATTTCAGTTTGTGGAAAAGCTGTAGTAGATTACTTTGTGACACCCCATTCCTGCTTAGAATCTTGTGTTTACTTTAAAGTGATGACTGCCACAGACTTACTAAACAAAAATGCAGCAAAATGTTTGTCTCTTATTGGCGCTAGATGCCATTTACCTGACCACTCTTTACTGTAAGTAACTTTTAAAGTGGGCAACCAAATAAATAATGAGTGTACCTCCTCGTGTTGAAAGAAGGAAAAGGCTGAGACATTTTTAGCATCTACTCGTTGCCAAATGGCAGTGCAGGGGTTAGCAGATAAATTAAATTGATGCAACAGTACTCGGCTTGATGTTGATATATAGTATGAGGATTTTGGACACTAATAAGAGAGGAAATAAATTCATATCAAAAGTGTAGGTTTAGCAAAAATCTAAATAATTCAAGATGGGGTATAAAACCTTTTTGGAATGGCCATCTGAAAATAGTATGGAATGAACGAAAAACAGCAGAGAGGGAGTTTCTTAAGTGTCAAGTACTTCAAAATAAACATAACTTGAGGGAAAATTGTAAGCAAAAACAATCCCTCTTTGACAAATATTGGATCTACAAAAGACGGTTTGAAAAAGGTCAACCACTAAGGCTTGATAATTTACAAACAAGCAATCCTCAGCAGATTTGGAAAGAAATTAATAAATTGGGACCACAAAGAATCAAGATAATTCCAATGGAAATAATCATGGATAATGGTGCTGTAGAGTGAAGAAAACAGCAAGTTATGAAACAATGGGAACAAGATTTTTCTCATTTATATTCAGGACTTGGAGAAGCAGCGGCTCTACTCCGAGCTCCTCCCGTGTGACTGAGCTCCTCACCCTATCTCTAATAAGGGAGCGCCCAGCCACTCTGCGGAGGAAGCTCATTTCGACCGCTTGTATCCGTGATCTCATTCTTTCGGTCATTACCCAAAGCTCATGACCATAGGTGAGGGAGGGAATGAAGATTGACGCTCCATCCTTCCCTCACTCGTACAAGACCCTGAGATACTTGAACTCCTCCACTTGAGGAAGGGCCTCTCCACCCACCTGGAGAAGGCAAGGCACCTTTTTCCGGTCGAGCACCATGGCCTCGGATTTGGAGGTGCTGATTCTTATCCCAGCCGCTTCACACTCGGCTGCAAACCGCCCCAGTGCATGCTGCAGGTCCTGGTTCGTTGGAGCCAACAGGACGACATCATCCACAAAAAGCAGAGATGAAATCCTGTGGTCCCCGAACCGGACCCCCTCCGGCCCCTGGCTGCACCGAGAAGCTAAAATGTTTGTTTAATTCCAATGTGTTTAAATTGGCTACTTATGTTGGTAAAGCCTGGAAGTGCCGGCAATCCTGTTTATTCAAAGAAGTCATTATTGTATCCTGTCAGTCATCTGATCCTGTTCTTTACATTGGTGTCTTATAAGCCCATGAAAGGGCTGGGCATACAGTTGTATTTCTGACATAGGTCTAAAGGTGGCTAAAACAGTGTCCAGTCACTGGTCCATGGCACTCGTTAACTGTGAGATTAGAGGTCTTTTAATTCATGGACGGGAGCGAGTTTTGAAAGGTTTTTACTAGGGCTGTCAAACGATTAAAATTTTTTAGTTGATTAATTGCACAGAAATGGTGAGTTAACTCACGATTAATCACATTTTTAACATTCTATTTCAAATCCACTCCAATTGAAGTTAAATGAGATTGTCAAATATAATGACACATTGTCATTCATACCAAATGTACTTAGATCTGTTTGCTTTTGGGCAAAACCAACATGAGCTGTTAATGAAAGGGGGAAATTTACATACCCCAGCTTTAATTCAGCGTTTCAGTTTAGTTTAGTTTCAGGAGGAGACAGGGACACTCCTGCGCTGTATTTGCGCGCACAGGTTACGCACAGGTTGCAAAGACACGAACACAACATGCAGACAATAGTTCTGTGGCGTGTTTGGTCTTGTGACCATGTTACCGCGGCGCCACTCACTCACAGCCGCTCACAGCCGTGTTGTTGTGAGCGGCTCACAGTCAGAGCGGCCACGGAGGAGGCGGACTTCAGTTCACAGCAAACAACAGCCCCGCGGTGGCGCGCGTATTCTTTTAAAACATGAATCCCCAGAGGGCCTACCTGCTCTGATGCATCTCACACGCAGCATTCTGAGTGATAATGGATAAATGGGCGGGTCATTCGGACGTGCGTTAATGCGTTAATTTTTTTTTAACGCGTTAATGAAAAATGTAATTAACGTGAGTTAACGCGATAATTTTGACAGCCCTAGTTTTTACTGATAATAAAAACCCCACAGAGCACAGCTCACCTTGTACAGAGGATGCACCCTGGGAAAGTTTCTCAGCAGAGACACAGAGAAGACCTCACTCAGCAGGTGAGTGCGCAGCAGGTGTCTGTTCAGCCCATGATCCATGAAATCTGCCGCTCTCACAAAGGTCTTGGCCAGTAACCAGTCATACTTTGTGTCAGTGGGGACAAAGATGGGGTTGTCCTCTGCTGCAGTCTGTTTGAGCTGCACAAGCACATCAGAACATGTCAATAAAGCAAAGGGAAGACCAGCACCTTTTTGCAAAGAAACTATTACATTGTTCCCCTAGTTTCAATATTACATTTGTCTTCATCTAGAAAACGTGTTTTGAGTCACTGTTTGACGCTTTGGGCTGAGAGCTGATTTAACTTAGAAGTGATCTTTTAACTTCTGCCTGAAACCGCAGCTCTAAAACTGTGCTAACTACAAAACTGGGCCTTCAGGTTTGCTCACAGAGTTTGTCTGGAACAATCAACATGTGCTCCTTCTGAAATAATTTATAAAATATTAGTAACAACATGTTTGATAGATTGTACAGCAATTGTCTTGACGGACAGATAATAGAAACAAGAGATATAAGATATGAACTTTACAAGTGTTTGGCCTCTCACCTGAATGGCCACCGGCTTCAGCTCGTCATCAGAGGTTTTGTGAAATAGAACAAGAGGAGCCGCCAGATATTGCTTTTTGTCATTGATAATATTTGTCTTCACTCCATCCAACATTTTGTAGTCACACAGGAACATGTTGCCATTCTGAAAAATAGGCATCTATTTAATTACACAATCCAACAATTGAATATTGTTGTGTTTTTAGTTACTATTAACTAGAAACCTTTCAAAAGTTAAAAACAACCGAATCCTGCAAAAAAATGCAACAGGCAAAATAATGTCTGTCAGGCAAATAAGACACGCCCCGCAGACCAAAGGCATTTTCAGTGCTCCCATCATGCTTTTTATGATCTAATTATTATTATTAACTTGCAGCATTGATATAATGTGGTTAGTATGGCTACCATGGCTTGTTAAACTTTATTCTAAAGCGGCTTTTCTCAAGAAAACAACTGCATATTTATGCGGTTTTATTTCTTAAAATATAATTGACACATTTGACCAATCAATCTGCAGTACTGGACCACAGGTGACTGTGACAGAATGCGACTAAATGCGTTAATCTAAAAGAATGTGTTAGTTTAAGTGTAGCACACCTTCATCTCTTGTTCCAAAGTGAATCCTTCCAGATGCAGCATGTCGTCTGTGACTGGGAAGTTTGCAGGCAGAGAGCTGCAGCGGCGGATCATCATGGGGTTCAGTCCATTCAGACATTGGTAACCAAAGAACTCATCCTTCTCCCAGTTCTGCTCCACGTATTCTGAAAGCAACATTAAGGATTACATGTAAGCAACAACCAGAACAACAGGGGACCAGTGAAAGAGAAAATACCTGTGACAGTTGTTTTGCTGCGAGAATTCATGGCTTTAATTGAATCCATATCAGACCAAGGAATTGCACTATCTTTAAAATGTGCCAGTTTCAGCTCCAACATCCTGGAAAGTAAATCACAGAGTATTTTATCAAATAGTACTACCACTGAGTTAACCCCTTAACCTCCACCAGGGCATCAACGCCCACTTTAGCATATTTAAATTCATGTGAGTCAGTACCCAATGCAAGCTTGTAACTTAGTTTGGCCATGGATTGTTATAGCTCATTTTCTCGTATTTATTGTGCTCTAAACCAAAAGCTTGATTAGTAATAATTCCTCAAGCAAATAATTTGTACATATGCACAATTCAATTCAAGTAACATTTATTTTTTGTCTCGATGACTTTACAAAGTTGTCGATTTGCCAGAAACAGGTCAGGGACCAAAGTCCAGCCAGCCTTTTTTCCCTTTGATCCATTTTGGTTCACTCCAACCATAACTGTACACATTTTATTAAATCAAATGAAAGTATCAATCAAAGTAATAATGTGATAGAGAATGAGCGCTAACCTGGCTCTCGCCAGACCCTTGTAGTTCGCTGTACTTCACACAAGGGTCTGGGATTTCTCGATAGGAGATGTACATCAGATGGCAGGGCCTTGTAAATAAAATCCTGGTATGTGATTGGATAACCACGTGCTACTTCAACCACTCACATCGTAGCACTCGAGTCAGCACACGACTCCCATGGGTTGCCAGATACTGGCAAGATTTTCCATCCCAAAACTCGCAAAAATACCCCAAAACAAAGACACCCAGAATTATTTTTTGGCAAAAAAGTATTCGGGAAACCACCCAATCTGGCAACCCTTCTGCGTTGTCTGGTTTGACAACAGTTATACTAGTACTTAAAGTAATAGTCTGGAAATCTAAATGCATAAAACATTTTAAGAATTGTATTAAATTGACCACCTGAGCTCAAATGTTATGGCTGAAAATCGGTCTGTCAATCATCGCGCTCGTGTTTGTATATCACTCAAATATTAAATATATATATATATATATAGTATAAATATATTATATATATTCAAACTAATAGTAGACAGCCCTTAATATTTGAAGCTGTAATCGGCAAAAAATAAAATAGTTAGTTCCCAAATGTTTCGCCGTGAGGTGGCAAGACCATGTCCCGGTGATCCAAGATGGCGCCCTATTCAAATGAACGGCTTGTGCTCAGTAGCGCATGGGACTTCACGGGGGCCGGGAGATTAGCAGAACTCGCCTATATTTGGCGAGTCCAGACTATCCCTTTAAACTAGGGCTGGGACTCGATAAAAAAAAAAAAACTTAATTAATTAAAGGCTTTGAAAATAATTAATTGCATTTTAAGTGCATATAAATATTTGACCTGAGAACAGTGAGAAGTAATTTTTTCCCATCCACAGGGGCCAACCAACGCAGTCACATCAGTTTCTTTGTTCATGTTCACTGTGCCACTGTGGTTTGTTGTTGTCTGAACCGAATTCATGCGCGTTAGTTGGTGCTCCAGTACAATCGGTCCGTCTGGGGCCCTGTCTACACATAAACCGCAGATAATTGTCTTCGTTTGCACCTGTCATCCACATGACAACGCATCATTAACAACTATGTAAAAAGAGAATATTTTTGTAAACTCTGTTTATGCTTTTGTGTAAACGGAGATAACTGGAGTTTTGCGTTTTCGCACGTCACAATATATGCCAAAACTACAACAAACAAAACGTACGACCTCTGATCACCGAAGAAGCATGGATTTGACTGCCTTAAAGGTACATTGTGTAAGTTTTAGTGCCATCTAGCGTTGAGATCTTATATCGCAGTCCAAGGTACTACGGAAACCTTTAAGTTGATTCTCAGTCATTCACCAGACTGCCAAGGAAAGAATACTTTAGTTTGATAAATGACCGGATCTCTCCAAACGTCTCGCACACTTGACAGTCGCGTGGAGGCAACTTGTAAACAAGAGCGTTTTGAAGCGGCACCCGCTGCACAGAGTTTTACTATGGATCTGTTGATCTCTATTGAGCTAAATGTTAAGATAAGTCTGGGTGTGGTCTACCTTCGAAGTTTACTAAATGGAGGTAATACGTATTCATAAGGTTTAACATAATCGGGCGGCACGGTGGCTGAGTGGATAGCACTCTCGCCTCTCAGCAAGAAGGTCCTGTGTTCGAATCCAGGTTGGACCAGGGCCTTTCTGAGTGGAGTTTGCATGTTCTCCCCATGTCTGTGTAGGTTTCCTCCAGGTACTCTGGTTTCCCCTACCACTAAAAACATGTACAACAGGTCTGGCATGCGCCTCTTGTAAGTAAGTAAGTAAGTAAGTAATCTTTATTTATATACCGCCTTTCACAGACCAGAGTCACAAAGCGGGTTTACAATTGTTATTGTTTTGGGCATTTGTCCTCTCACTCCACACAGAGATGGGAGCGGGGTCGCCAGTACAGTAGGCGCATGCCAGAACTATAGTGCATGAACTTGTACTGGCGACCCCGCTCCCATCTCTGTGTGGAGTGAGAGACAAATGCAAATAAATAACAACCGCTTTGTGACTCTGGTCTGTGAAAGGCGGTATATAAATAAACAAATATATATATAACTCCAGGTGCTGTGGCAAACAGGTGATCTTTTCTCTATCCTCTAAAGCAGTGTCTCCCAAAGTGGGGTCCGCGGCCCCCTGGTGGGCCGCGAGGGTACTGCAGGGGGGCCGCGGGAGGTCATAAAAAAAATAAAAAGATAAAATAATTATTTAATGTTAAATTTATAATGTTTTGTTTGTAATATTAAAATATTTGTGTTCATTATTTGACTTGAATAATCCACTGTAATCATTTTTGTATTACAATGTTTGTAGCAGAGGCTATTTCCCCAAAATAAAATAACCAGAAGAGCCTATTCTTAATGTTGTCTTCTTGGTTATTATTTTGGGGGGCCACGCAAACCCGTCAGATTTTTAAGGGGGCCTCGGTGTTACTGAGTTTGGGAATGGCTGCTCTAAAGGTTCACATGTATTTGGTACAAGAATACAAATGAGCAATATTTATTTTTATTTAAACTTTAAGTAAACTCATACACACACATGATCCATAAATTGTTAATTGTTAAGTTAATTATATATTAAGAATAAAAGAGCAGTATAAAGAGCATACAATTACATATTTAAAACCATTCATCCATGACTTGTCAGTATTGTCTCTCGTCTATTATTAAATTAAATTCTGTCTGGAAAATACAGTAGAGCACCACAAAACGAGTCCAATAATCCTCAAAATAAGCAACATGTCAGCCACAGAGACCATGAGGACAAACATTTTACTGCTCTACAGTTCTCTGGCCCATACTGTCTGTAATGTTTAATAATAGTTTGTATGGACTACTCGTGAACGCACCACTTACTCTGCTAAGATAAGTGCGAGCCGACAAATAGTAACGGCTGCAGCAACACGTCTGTACTGTAGTAGGACAGAGTGCAAAGTAAACGTACAAATGCAACCCATCAGTCTGATTATTTAGTGTCCGTGAACACATTACACTGTCCTCTACACTTCTCCACAGACCTCACAGAGACAGCAGCAGCCGCGACTCTGCAGCTGTGTACACAGCCGCGATATGCGACTCTTCTGCTCATTGATAAAAACAACTCAGAAAGTAAAGCGAAAGCGGCAATCGCAATCTTAATCACTGACATGTAGATTCGCACGGGATTAGTATTATCACAGTCTGTGTTTGGACAAATACAGGAGGTCATTTGCGTATTAAATTATACTAAATTAGAGCGAATAGGGCTGAAGTAAACAAACTTGTTTCACATCCGGGTAATCGATTGACGCCGAAATGTATTAAATATATATTTTTTAAAAGTTAATTATTGCATTTTCTAGTTCCCAAATCCGGTTATTATAATATATATATATATGTCTTATAAGCAAAACTCATTGTGTCCCATTGACGCATTAATACGTCAAATGCCTTTTTCGCTATTTTCACGTTCCCAGATGTCTATTATATCTAATATGTTTGGGGATGACTTGAGACCATATTTTATCGAGCCAGCAGGTGGCAGCATTGCTCTCTGAATGGTTTGAAAACATGTAGGTGCACATGTTGTGCCTCTTTTTTCTCAACTTTCTGGTGATTTCTGGTGATTTCAGTAAAACTTCCCTCTACTCGACGGAGGATTACAGGGGAACGAAAAAAGCTATAAACAAAATTCTTTTTGCTGAGGAAAGTAGACAGTCCATTCTTTTAGAATCTGGTGTCGGATTTCAGATAGTCATAGTACACAATATTCTGTGGGTCTTGAAAAATCAGTAAAAATCATCAGAAATGGCTGGCACTGTGGGAGTACCTGTTCTGAAATAGGCTGGCATTCAATGAGTTAAAAAACCAAAATGGTCATTTTTGTATATTGCTGTGCGCCTGAAAATGCAAAATAGCCTTTTTTTGATTTTTGATGTATTGAACGCAAAAGTACACGGACCGGACCGCTGGTTATCCTTTACAGCAAGAAATTATAATACAAAAAGATTAAGTAATTCTATCTAGATCTTCTATCTTCTAAGAAATCCTGTATCCAGAAAAGCACTGATGCAAATCTGGAGGCCCAGAGGCGTCTAGGTTTCCTATTTTTATAAAATAATGACTTACACTACTGTTATATTCCATTTGATTCCCATGTCCTTTGTGAAGGAGAACTGAACTTCAGGAGGCAAATCAGACGCACTCTCAGCTTTGATGAGGTGAGGAATGCCCTCGGTTTGAACCTTCCAACTGAAATAGACACATACACAGAAATAACTTTATAACGTTTACTTACAAACATTACAAAACGTACCAGTATTCATATTTCCTGAGCTGCAACTCCCTCTTCCTAGCAGCGAGGGTGAGGTGATGTTGGTCTTGTGACAAGATCTGAGCTATTGAGTTCAGAAAACACTCAATTGGATGAAACATTATCAAGAGAACCTTTATTTCTCCCACAGTTGGAAAATATACACACAGATAAAGAGAACTCAAAACCAAGGTGTATAGATGATGAATAATAAGAAAACAAAAGCAATTGGAAAAAACGCTCTGAAGCAATCCCATGGCACAAACCTGTTCCCTCCATGAAAGAATGAACCTTTTCATTCTGGATCCAGTGGTACATGGGGAACTTGAAGACTTTTCCTTCTGGAGATTGCACTTCAACTTTGTCCACAAACCAGGAGTCATTTTGTATCACTGACTGCTTGTCCAGTTCCACCATTATCAGATCTCCCAGAGACTCAGAACAACTTAGACGGACATTTGTCTGAAGAAAACACACATTTGGATGTTTAATGTTTAAAATGATATTTGCCGCTACAGTATAATACTAACTTGTTGTCCACTCCAGAAGCCTGTCGTTAGGAGCGGCGTAATACATGTACGGTCACTTTCCCCAGTGCGACCGATAAGTTTGATGTATATGTTGTTGCTAGTACCGGCCCAATTCCTGTTGCCAGTAAAAACGGTCACTTCGTATGTTGACATTTTTGGCACCGTCTTCTCAGCCAGAACCAAATCTGTGAAAACAGATATTTAAAAAATATATAGAGCAAAGATTGTTTAACACTACCATGCACTTCTTTAAAGATGACTTTTTCAGAGCTTAATGTCAAATAGCTATTACATGGGTATCAGTTAAAATCACTAAGTTTGTATTTGTGTTATACATTTTGAGCTTACATTATATTCAGGCAGAAGATGTAAAAAGCTAAGTTTAGTTTTGATGGAAAGACCAATTTTAACATGACCACAATTAGAAGTATTTCAAGGTGAATAGGCCACCCCCAAACAATACATGTTCACATCCCTTATATAGTAAGAGTAATACTAAGACTTTTTTCTAATGGCGCCTTTAAAATAAGTAAAAAGGTGCTTTTTAAAACAGTTCAAATAAAGTTCAAATACAAAGTGAAAAGGATCATGATGATAGGATTGTGTGGTTATGATGTCAGAGCGTCTCCACGCTCTGACGAGGCGCGGGGCCCCCCGCGAACGCTGCCTCACCCGCGGGGCGGTCTCAGCGCTCTGACGCAGTGAGGAGACCTCCCGTGCACGTGAAAGCCATTCCGCCTGTTGGGCACCCCTCCAGCCCTGCGCTGGTCCCTCCCACGCCCGCCACCACCACTACTGCCACCACCACGGCCACTATGGTCGCCCCGGCTCCAACAAAACATCCGTCTCCGGGTCCTCCATGCTGCTCCACTGCCGCTCATGGGGGCTCAGCTCCGGGCACACCCCAGGGCCCCTCTGTACCCCTCTCACCCCCAGCCCCTCCACAGGTGCCTGTCACATCACACCCTCCACGACCCCTCTTCGCTCCCACAACACTGCTGGTGGGTGACTCCATCATTGATTGGTTGATTGATTGTTATTTATTTGAGCATTTTACAAACATATTTTTCATTGTTACAAGGTTACACTGTTATAAAGTGGCTCAAAAGGAGTAGGCTGAAGCAAGAAAGCTTATTAGTGCCCACCCCCTGTTCCAAGTGATCACTTTAAGCTGCAGACAATAACCGTGAACACAGGCATCATACAGTTTACATACAATAAACACGAGTTCCTGAGTTACCCAGGCACGTGCACATCAGAAGGTGCATGGGCCTGTTTACTTACAAGCAATTTGTGAATGATCATTTCCATACATAGACACACCCAAGGCTCTGTGGATGTGCTCATCCATGATCACAATCAATTCTACGATTACAGTTGTCCAGGTTAACCAAACACACGTCAGCATTGATTAGAAAAGCATTCATGATTATACAATATATCACAAGTTTTTCACACGACTACCAAGGTAAAATAATCATTATTATTATTTATGTGGGTTTATATATTCATATATACACATGCATACACATACACACATACACACACACATATATATATATATATATATATATATATATATATATATATATATATATATATATATATACATATATACATACACAGACATATATATATAATTTTTTTATTTTTTTATTTATTTATGTTTTCTTCATTTCGTATGATAACCATATACCATCATTACCTAAGAATACCAATCACCAATCTTTTGACTGATCAGGATTTCATTATTATTTGCATTACATTTGTCATAATTTTTCTTTCTCAACAATACATAATCATGATTATAAGTCCCCTTACCATCATTCCCATTTTGGAATCACATAATTTATTTGCACTACACATTTTTGTAGAATGTCCTCTTGCCGTCATTCTCGATTCACTATAAAATATTGGTTGTGACTGTAGAATTACTTTTTGTTGTTTGCCTTTTTAAGTGAGATGCATTAAAAAGCAAGGGCGTGACGTGGCTAGTTGGCTGAGGGCAGAGACCCCCCATCAGCTAGCCACACCCTGCTGCCCTAACTATGTATTGTGTAAGGTTTTATGTCCTGTGCCGGGTAGTGCTTTGAATTTGAGGTTGGTGACACTGGTTCTTTCGGCAATGATGTGGTTAATCAGATTCACAATAATACTTAACAGATTACATGTCTTTAGCATATTTCTCAAACACACTTCTCTTGTATCGTTTTTTTGAATAGCTGTAAACAAGCAACATCTTTTAAGGGTTCCTCTAGATTATTCCACAAATGTACACCTCTCCGGGTAATACAGCAACTTTTTAAGGAAGAGTGAACACTTTGAACTTTGAGGTTATGAGTACCTCTGAGGTCATATCTTCCATCTCTTTTACCAAACATTTGTTGTATGTTGCTAGGGAGCTGGTTATTTACAGCTTTATATACCTGTAACAGAGTATTATATTTTATAAGATCATCAAATTTCATTGTGTTTGATTTTAAAAACAGTATATTTGTGTGGTCCCTATAACCGACGTTATGAACGATTCTTATGGCCTTCTTTTGAAGTCTATATAAAACCTCTAAATGACTATTGAAGGTATTTCCCCAGACCTCTGAGCAATAGTTTATGTACGGTTGGATTAAGGAACAGTACAGGGTGAAGAGAGCCTTTTGGTCCAGAAAAAATCTACATTTGCCCATAATTGCCACATTTTTTGCCATTTTCCCTCGAATGCTATCTATTTGTGGTCTCCAGCTAGCCTTATGGCTGAAGACCACACCTAGAAATGTATATTCCTTGACTTGTTCAACTTGAACATTATCAATATTGATTTTAATTTGAATATCACTATTACGTTTACCAAAAATAATCATTTTTGTTTTCAATATATTCAGCGACAGTTTATTTCTACAGAACCAATCTTTCAATTTGTATAATTCAGTTGTGACCTCTGAGACAAGCACTTGTAGATCTTTGCCAGAACCAATAATTGTTGTGTCGTCCGCGAATAAAATAAATCTCAACTTTGTTGAGACTTCGCACAGATTATTTATATACAACAAGAACAATTTGGGACCTAATATAGACCCCTGGGGGACTCCGCATACTATGTTCTTCCGCCCTGATACATGTTCATTCATTTGTACGTACTGCTGTCTTTCAGTCAGGTATGACTTTAACCAATTGTTAGCCACCCCTCTGATCCCATTATTATTAAGTTTACTTAAGAGGATTTCATGATCTATAGTGTCAAAGGCTTTCTGGAGGTCTATGAATATACCCAAACAGTACAGTTTATTGTCAATGTTGTTGGTGACTTCTTCGTTTAGATTGATTAGTGCATGTGCTGTAGACCTGTTGTTTCTGAACCCGTACTGACAGTCACTGAGTAAGTTATGTTTATTCATAAAGCTGTCCAAACGGGCAGCAAAGAGTTTTTCAAAAATCTTGGATAGTTGTGGAAGTATGGATATCGGCCTGTAATTAGTAAATTGATGCTTATCTCCATTCTTATAGATTGGAACGACCTTGGCAATCTTCATGAGGTCTGGGAATTCTCCAGTTGAAAAGGATAGATTACAAATATGTGTTAAAGGCAAAGTAATGTTTAGTATAACTTTTTTGATCATGTTCATGTCAAAGTTGTTCCAATCAGTAGATTTTTTACTTTTGAACGCCTGAACGATTTTGATTTCATCAAAAACCTACATCATACATCCGTAGATGTAGGTTTTTTAACGCCACCACGCACTGCTTTCCTGGAGCCACTGTCACCACTCTACTTCATACACTTCCTAAACTTCTCCAAACTGCCCCAAGCACAATAACCCGGATCATCGTCCATGTTGGTACCAACGATACATCACTCCGCCAGTCTGAGAACACAAAACTCCATTTTCAGGACCTTTTTAAACTGTTATCAGAGACTGGAAAAACTGTTTTTATCTCTGGCCCTCTGCCCACTCTGGCCCGTGGCGGGGAGCGTTTTAGCAGAATTTTATCACTTAACACCTGGCTCAATCATTCGTCACTCCAACACAACTTTGCTTTTATAGACAATTTTAATCTGTTCTGGGACCGCCCCCTCTTCTTCCAGCGAGATGGACTTCATATCACCCCCCTTGGCAACCGGTACCTTACCTCCAACATAATCCACACAGTTCAATCCCGCTCCATATATTTCTGACAACCCACTACCGCATCCCCCATCTCACCTGCTCCGTCACCCCTCAACACCAGCCCCTCTTCTCCCCAGCACAAGATCCCAGCCATATCCAGACCCCGTCCCTACAGACCCTCCAGTTCCAGGAAACCATGTCTCACCAACCTCATCCCTGTTGCCCTCCCTCCTTCCACGTCCTCTGCTCCTCACCACGTCCCTTCGAACTCTGAACTTGCAAAAAATAAATCTGCCTCAAAAGGTACACCGCCAACACCTCTTTTAACCATAAGCCTAGCTCTTTTAAATGTACGTTCTCTTTTAAACAAGACTTTTATCATTCATGATCTTATTTTAGAAAAAAACCTGGATGTTACGTTCTTAACTGAGACCTGGCTTGGTTCAGATGCATCGGCTATTCTCACAAAGGCCTCTCCCTCAAATTTTAGCTTTGCTTTTACCACAAGAGAAGGGAAAGGGGGCGGTGGCACAGCCTCACTATGCACTAATACTCTTGCCACCAAACCTATCACTTTTAACCAATACTCAAGTTTTGAATATCTTTCTCTTGTTTTTAGCAACCCCAAAATTTTAGCAGTCATAATTTATAGGCCACCAAAGAGGTGCTGCCGTTTTATTAAGGAATTAAGGAGTTTTTATCAGTTATATACAATTCTTATGATATGATTCTTCTAACCGGTGATTTTAACATACACATCAACAATCCCTCAGATAATTTTTCCAATGAGTTCTTAAATGTCCTTAATTACATGGATTTTACCCAACACGTCACACAGCCAACGCACGACAGAGAACGCACCCTCGACCTGGTCATTACTTATGGCTTATGGTGTGTCCTCTGTTGTCGACCTGGCTGTCTCTGACCACTACTGCGTGTTTTTTAACATCACTGGTTTTATCCAGCGTGAGACCTCTGTGAGAACCGTGAGGAAGCGACATCTAACCCCTGAAGTGGCTGCAAATGTTATAGACATTCTTAATAACACTC